AAAAAAAAAAAACGTTACAAAAGAAACAAATTTCTTCTTACCGTTCCAACTTTGTGGAGAACCTTTTCTAAGACAATCGAGATGACTATAATGACCGCACACACGCCGGCGACGGCCCACGTCGGTGTCTGTTCAAGAGTTCTTGTCGTTCCTCCCTTCTCGCCCGCCATTTCTAACAAAATTCAGAACAAAAAAAAAAAACACAGAGCGAGAGACCCTTTATCTCCCTGTAGTCAGTCAACTGTTGCTGCAAAAGGGCAAAACAAAATTGGATTGGTTCTTCTTGTCGAGATATTTTCAGCTAAGGAAGAAGAAAAGTAAATGCGAGCGATTTTTGGTTGTATAATATCTTGATTGAAGAGTTTTAGCTACTTAATTGAAAGCATTTATATATACTTGGAAGGAATAACGTGTCTGCAAACTTTTCTTGAATAGTATACAAAAGTCTCTGGAAAATGTTATGGTCCCGTTACGGAACCATTCCGTTGGGTTTGTAACCGTTAGATCATCATGTAACCATAAAAAATAGTTGATCTAACAGTTATAAATTGTGACGGAATGGTTTTCATAACGGGACCGTAACATCTCCCCTAGTTTGTGTGGGACAGCCATTTATTATTATAAAGATTAATACACGATCAATTCTTTATTATTATTATTATTATTATTATTATTATTTTTTTATTATTATTATTATTATTAATAAAATCAAAGTTATTATTATTATTATTATTCATTGTTCTTTTTACCGTTTTATAACATTCTGACATATTGATATCGTGCGCGTTTACTGTCCTGTTTTAAAAATGGCCGACTTTGAAGACTAATTCTTGTCACGGAAAAATTGCAATTTTTTTTATTCAATGGCGTTTATAGTCATAAAAATTAAATATTTTTATTATTTGGTCCTATAATTTAAAAATTCATCAACATATGACTGGGAATAAAAATGCAACAAAAATTGAAATTATAAGACTTAAATTACTAACAAAAAATCTTTTGGATACATTTTTTATTAACAACTTACGTCTTGTAATTTTAAATCTTGTGGTAATTTCAGTCCCAAAAGACTGAAATTTCAATAAAATACTAAGTTACAGGATCAAAAGACGAAAAAGATAAAATCTTGGGATTGAAAATGCTACATCGTTAAACCATCAAGACTGAAAATGCAATTTTACTTCCTTGTCGCTCGTGGTTTAGAGCTATGTTTTCAAATCCGTCATCGAGTAAATTATTTAATTTGAACGTTATTTTAAAAAGAAAAATTAGATTATATTTTTTTATTTTTTATATAAAAATTATACATGAAATTA